CATCTCCCACCTTGACTGGCTGCCCGTTACTGGTCTGCAGGAGGCTCGAGTCATCTGCTTCGATGCCGAAGGCCACGAAGGGCCCCGTGGCGATGTCTCCCCAGTACCCGCGTGCCGCTACCCGCTCCCCACGCTGGGAAAGCAGGGAAAAGGGGAGGCGCATGAGGCCGGGGGTTGGAGGAGAGGCAGCGGGCCAGGGCAGGGGTGTGCACCCACGTGGCTCAGAAGGCGCCCGGATGCCAGGGTCCGGTTGGGCACGTGGTAGGAGCTGGAGTCTCTGAGCTCAAAGGCAACACCAGTGTCCCTCCAACGCCGGAACTCCCGGGTGTGGATGACCCGCGCCTGGGGTGGGGGACGAAGCGGGGGAAGGGAGGCCTCAATGAACCAGGCATGTGGGACTCAGCCCATCCTCCCAGAGACGAGACCCTGGAGGCCTGACCCGCGCCCCACGCTCAGACCAGGAGTCCTGACCCCCAGCCCTCCGCCCTCAGATTGGGGTCCCGTTGCCCTCACCCCGCGGTCGTGCAGCTTCATGTGCAGGTCCCAGTCGCTGACGCCGCGGCGGGCGTCGTAGCGGGAGCCCAGGTAATGGCGCACCCGCGAGTCCCAGAGGCGGCTCATGGGGAAGGCCTGGGGTCCCTTCTCCTCGCCTGCCCAGAAGCGCAGCGCAGCCTCCAGAGCGTCCCTCTCACGGAACTGCAGCAGACAGGGCCCGGGGCCCGGGATGGAGCAAGAACTGCCTCCTTCGCTTCGGCCTCCCCATCCGTTGTGAGCCGGGCAGGCGCTCCCCCGCTGCCCAGATGAAGAAGCCGAGGCTCCGAGGGCAGAAGTCAGCCTCCGGCCGCAGATGCCACCGCGGGAAAGCGAAGCCCGGAGGGAGGCTGGCACTGCAGGCAGGGCCCGCTCCATCACCACCCACCCGCTAGGCCCGCTGCGCCCTGCTCCGGGGAGTAGGGGGTCGGGGTGGGGGTGGGGAGACAGCACCGACCTTGAGGGCGCTGAGGCCCAACCAGGGCAGCTGCTCAGCCAGGCGGTCGGGCTCGGGGACCAGGTTGGCCAGGCGCTCGGCCTGGGCGCGGACGTAGACGGCCACCGGGGCGCGCAGGAGCGCGTTGCCCCACACCTCCAGGAAGGTCTCACTCCTCTCTGCGTGGCGGGGAGGGGTGCAAAATAAGAGGGCGGGGAGCCCCAGATCAGACCGGCGTGGGCGAGTCTCCTCTCCAGTACCTATTCATCGATTGTATATGGATACCATTGAATAAACTCAATAGAAAACAACAAAAACCCACCACCGCCACCTCAAGTCAATTCAGCGACCGATAGCACAGAGTAGATCCTCTCCTGGGGTTTCCGAGACTGCAAACTTAAAAAAAAATTTAAACTGCTTTGTTGGCATATAATTCAATAGGCTGATCATTTTAGCAATAGCCGTGCAACCATCACCATCATCCGTTTCTTGTATTTGTTTTTAACCACCTACCTACCGGGGACTGTTAACTCTGTCCGGGCATAGAAAGCTTCATCTTGGGCATAGAAAGCCTCATCTTTCTCCCCAGAACAGCTGGTAGTTTTGAACTGCTGACCTTGCCGTCAGTTGTCCACTGGTAACCCACTCCGCCACCATTGAAGAGTTATCCTGAAACCCAACCAGCCAACCAAATTCACAAGCGCGCGGAGTCCTTTCCAATAGAACAGAGGAAGGATTCCTAGGCTGGTACCTTGAGGCGGAACGGGTCCCCCAGGTCTTTACTTCATCAGAGAGCATACCTTTTGGGTTAGCAGGTGAGCGCTTTGACCACTGCACCACCCAGACGACTTTCCAATAAATAGATAGATAGATAAATAAATGGATGGATAAAGGAATGAATGAATAAAATAATGATAAAACATCTGTCATCTAAGGAGCACCTGGCCCAAGCCGTGGGTTTTTCAGCCGCCTCATATGTATGTGAGAGTTAGACCAAAAGAAGTGCATTTGAAGGATGGTGCTGGGACTGCCAAATCTGTCTTGGACCAAGTCCAGCCAGGATGCTCCTTAAAGAGAGGGTGGTGAGGTTTTTGTCCTTTAGGCATGTGGTCACGAGAGGCCAGTCCCGGGAGAAGGACATCATGGCTGGTAAAATAGGGGGGCAGAGAAAAAGAGGAAGGCTCTCAAAGAGATGGACCACAGGGTGGCTGCAAAAAATGGGCTCAGACAGAGGAGCAATGGTGAGGGCACCACTGGAGCGGGCGGCGCATCCTGTTGTTGCTACCAGTTGGAACTGACAACAATCCCTATGAAGTGTTATAGGAACAAAAGACATCGCTCATGAACCCAGCTCACATGTAGTATATCAATACACCCAGAGGGCTGAAACTCTGCTAATTGGCTTTATAAACCTTTTCACCATTAGCCCTCCACAGGAGAAAGATAAGGCTTTCTTCTCTTCTAAAGAGTTACAGTGCATGATAAATTATAAATTATTATTTTCCTATCTTACACCGTCCACGGTCTCCCTTCACCCACTTTTCTGTTGTTTGTCCCCCGGGAAGGGATTATAAATGTAGATCCTTCTGATCGATTTCCCCTTTCTCCCCACACTTTCCCCTTCCCCCACCCCGCCTGGTAGCTCTGTTCTCATGATTGGTCCTGAGGGGTTTATCTGTCCTGGACTCCCTGTGTTTTGGGCTCTTATCTGTAGCAGGGTACATGTTCTGGTTTATCAAGGATTCATGAGGGAGGGAAAGCCCGAGAGGGAGGGAAAAAATGAGCTGATATCAAGGGCTCCAGTAGAAAGAAAATGCTTTGAAAACGATGATGGCAACATATGTACAAATGTGCTGGACACAATGGATAAATGAATGGATTGTGATAAGAGCTGTAAGAGGCGCCAATGAAAGTGTTTTTTTTTTTAAAGTTAGAGTCTCCGAAACCACAGGGGCAGTTTAACTCTGTCCTATGGGGTCACTATAAATCAGAATTGACTCAATGACTGACTTTCTTTCTTTGGTTTTAACGAACCCCAGAATCCCAGGGGCGCTGTTAAATGGATGTTGCACTGGTAACTGCAAGACCCATGGTTCAAAGACGCCAGCAGTTCTGTGGCAGGAAATGGAAGCTGTGGGCTCCCTTAAAGATCGACAGCTTAGAACCTTTATACAGGTTCGCCACTAGTCGGAAGCCACTAGATGGCAGTGGTGGATGCGCTGCGGACAGAGTTATTATTACCCAAGAGCAAGGAAGCCTCGAATCAGGTGGTTTCCTCTGCATTTGCCAAAAGCCCTCTCTGTGGTCTTGTTGCTGATGGTTTTTATAATCACTGATTTGGTCGGGTTTATGGTACAGTCTTGTGCCATCAATATTTAGGAACGTATGTCAGTAACTTAAAAAAAAAGACTTAAGCAGTAAAGGGAAAGGAGAATAATAATAATAATAATATAAAGCTTCCCTGCAGTGACTAATAAGGTCGGAGTTCAGCCTGGACATATTTTACACACTCATTTTGTTTTTAGTGTTCATGCCATCCATAGATTCCCACACATATTTGGCCTATCACTGCCTTTTGAGAAAGATAAAGGAAACAAAAAAACATACACAAGTAAAAACGTTTGTACTCTAACCCATCATCCAGGATAGAGTATAAGTAGCTGCTCTTGTAGCACATTGGGCTTCGATCCACAAGGTCAGCAGTTTGAAACCACTAGTCGCTCCGTGGGAGAAAGACAGGACTTTCTACTCCCGTAAACAGTTAGTCTCAGAAACTCACAGGGACAGTCTACCTGGCCTGTGGGTTGCTATGAGTCAGCATCGACTCAGCGGGTTGGTTTTTCAGATCCTTCCAGTGGACACTCCCACCCCCCGTCCCCCAACAGACACACAGAGAGAGGGGTAGTATCGTTTGCTTTGGAAAACACTGACAACTATCGCAGTAAAACAATCTCCAACTGTATTTAGTATGTCACTCTACGATAGAAATGGAGAATAAACGTCACGGACGATCCCGTGTGATATGGTATGGAAGGAGGCCCGCGGGCAAGGGTGACACTCAGCTCACTGAGTGGCAGCAACCCTAGTGACACCGCTGTACCGATGGGACAAGAAGCAGCTCTAAAAGCACCCCCCAAACGAGTGAGCAGGTGATGAAGCAGCGGGAGAGGACTCTCAGGGCATTGCATCTTTGAAATGCCAGGGTCCCGCAGGGCATGAGAGAGCCTGGGGGCCAGAAGGCCTGCATCCTTGAGCCTGACCTTGCAGCCCCATCTTCTCGGGTTCTTCTAGGGCTAGGCTGAAGAGCAGCAGGTGCCGGGCCACCGCTTCCAAGTTATTCTCCAGCACGTGGAACTGGAGGGATGGACAGGGAAGCCTGATTTGGAGAGACACCCCCAGCCCCACCCCACTACCCCTAAGTCCCTAGCAGATTTGGTCTCAGCCCCTTCCTCCCACAGGACCTAGGAGTCCTGTACAGCCGGCCCCCCACCCGACCCCACCCCCCAGAACACAGGGTCCTGGGCTCCAAGCCTCTACTGCCCTATCTGGAAGAGACAAGATCCCGATGTTCTTCCTGCTAAGTATTTGCCATCAAGTTGATTCAGTCATGATGACCCCGGGTGATTTCAATGGCTGATTTTCTGGAACTGGATGGCCAGACCTTTCTTCCGACACACCCGAGTGAATTCAAACTTGCATCCTTTCAGTGAGCAGAGTGTATTAGCCATGTGCACCCCGAGGAGCTCCCTTCCTCCCTCTGGAACCCAGGAACACCAAACCTCAGCCCCTGTAGTGGCTAGGGTGCAGCAGGCTCCAACTCCTCCTCCCTGCTTGGATCAGGTTTTAGATCTCCGCCCATCTCCTCCTGCAAGGACCCTGGAATCCAGCCTTCCATTTGAATCTCCCTCCTCCCTCCTTCCACAATCCCTGCTCACATTGAGCTTCCTGGGGGGCCAGTGTGCAGCCCGGGCCAGGGTCCGCAGCAGGTGCCGCCCATCCACAGAGCCCAGCAGTAAGACATCGAGCTCAGGTACCCCGTGCTCTGTTACTTCTTGCGAGTCTAGCTCCACCAGAGGACCTGGTAAGGCGAGAGCCAGGCTGGAGTTAGTGGCCACCAGCGCATTCCCTGCAGCAGCCACACAACCCTTCCCCACGCCAGACCGATGGACTACAAATCCCAGCAGGGCTTGCACCATTTTTTTTCGATTTTTAAAGGGAGTTGTGCCTCTAAGCCTTCTGGGAAAAGTAGTCCGCACATAAGACAGCTCAACCTATTATGGGAGCGTCCTCTGCCGTTGGAGGATTAGAATGTTAGACGCCCCCCCTGGTCGCCCCACTGCCGTCCCTCTCTAGGTGTTCTATGGCCTCTGGGACTACAACTCCCTTAAGGCACTGCGCCGATTGCCACAGCTGTGAACGCAGGTGCTGTACCAGAGCATCCTGGGATTTGTAGGCTCACAGGAGACCGAGGGGATGGTGGTGGACAACTCACTCTCAGCCTGCAGGTCCAGAGCCGGGGACAGACCCCACCAGGACACGGAACCGAAGCCTGTGCCAGATCCTGCCGGTGTGGTCATCGCCCTGCGGGACAGACGTCCTGGAAATGTCCAAACAATGCTGTCGTATCGCCAGCTCCCACTCCTCTGTCGCCACTCCTTATTTCTCGCTGTTTGCATCCATGTGACAGCCTCCTCACCTTTATCCTTCCAGGTATCTCGAGTCACCCCTCCCTC